AAATATCTTCTGTGAAATGGTGATACACAGGGGGAAGTCCCAGATTTTAAATTGTTGAAGGCCTCTGGTTTGGAGAAAACAAAGAGGACACTTTGAATACCAAAAACACTGAGAAAGATTCTATTTTCTGGTTTCATTTGTTCTGTCAAACTTGTCATTGAAGAATTTATTAATGTTTATTTTTCTCCAGCCTTGATTACCCTCTCTACTTAGCAGGTAAGAAAGAGTGGGTAAAAACAAATTGGTAAATTTTAAAATTTGAAATAGTATAAGTACAATCAGTGGGATGTTATATTTTAGTACTTACAGGTCAAAGAAGGATCTTTGGTTGACAACAATTAGGTCATGGGACATCGATGTACTGCAGAATCCTTAGTTGTCAGTAGGTTTTTACTAAAGCTTACTTTGGTTTGCAGATTTTATTGTGCTAAGTCAGCTGGGAAAGTGAAACTTGACTTCGGTGAAAAGCGCTGTATCTGGAGTGGAAAAGATATAAACAGAATTATAAAGGGTGACAGTGTGTTGTATATCTTTTGTGAGGTTTGTATCACTTAGACAGTACAACAAGTTGCAAAGTCTTTTGTACTTCTGTGTGTTACTTTGCTCTGTATTTAATTCCCTATGTTGGTTGAGATTGTGTCAGAGAATTTAAAGGAATACCCATGTCTACATTTTGGGATGTGACATACCAAAAAGAGGTTTGCAAAGAATTGTGGTATGATTTGACACACTCTTTTTTCCTAGAAGAAGATACATATCAGTAAAGTATATTCAAAGTTTTGTTCCAATAGCCCTTATTGTTAAACCTGTTGGTCTTAACTGGCAGTGGCCTGTTATTTGTTAGCTGACGTTGATGGAAGGGAGCTGTTCTTCACAATTGCCACATTTCATATGTTCTTGTAAAGCTTTACAATCTGTGCATAATTTTTATGATTCATAGCCACCTTATATTAACTTGGTTTTTGCTCAGATACAAGTATGGTAAATTAGACTAATTGTAACTTAGGACAGGTTAAACAAAGTCAGTGCAGTAGTCTCACCAAGGGCAAAGGGTTCAATGTTTATAAGAATATTTTATAGCAGTTTATAAGAATATTTCAGCAAAAAGTAATCATTCACAATAACAAAGTTCCTGAATTTACGTATTTATCAGATGAAGGAATTCATTAATGAAGATTAGGATAGAAGGAAATGTAATCCAGTATCTGATCATATGAATTTTCCATAATTTTTTTAGGGAGAGCAAGTGCAAGACTCTGGTGCCTTCTCCACAGACTCAGAGCAGTCAGAAGCGCATGTTACACTTCCACCAGTGGGTCCTAACACAAGTCAGATAACAGAAATGGTTCCAATGACATTGGCACAAGCACCTCAACCAATCCCTCCAACAGGTTGATAATGTTACCAGTATTTTAGTGTCAACCAACTCTCACTTATCATGCCTTTTGCTTATTAAGTGTCTTACCCACTGCAGTTCAAAAACATTCTGAAGTCTAGCGATCAAAAGTTCTTAGGTTCACTGAGTAAAGAGTTGGAAATATTATGCAACACTGCACATTTTTTTCATTGATTCCCTTGTAACCTTTATTAGTAAAACTCTGTCTATTCAATGAATGCCTATAATTCTCTAACATGTAAATTGATAGTTCTATTACTTCAGCAGTGCTTGAGAAATTTGTTGGCAGGTGTTAGCTGGCCTGTGATCAAAATATTTATTAGGTAACTCATAGCAGACAATATACACAGCAAGGTGTTGTCTGCTCCTTGAAAATATCAGTCTTCTTATCATCTTATAAGTGTAGTCGATGAAGACCATAATACTGAAAAGTATGTCAACACTGTTGATAACAGCAGTGAATGTAGATAATCTATTTGAGTTGTCACAAACACATGAATGCATACAAAGTACATTTCTACCTCATAAGGAGATCATTGAGACCAGGAAGTAAATGGTTAAACGTTAATGTAATGTGTGTACTTAGGAAAACTCAATTCTTTGTGGAAAAAAGTTGATATTGTTAGATAAATTAATACAATTCTTTTATGTGTGTTGTGTGTAGGTGATTTACCAAAGCAGAGAAATTCTTCCACTCTTGTATCTCAAATGAAACGTTTACAAATCACTAGTAAAGATACAGAGATCCAGAAGTCATACAATCAGGCTTCACCAGAGACATTCACTGCTGCAGGGAGTCCAAGTGGTCAACAGTATACACCTGTGACTGTCTGGGCTTCTGATGATCAGGTAGTCATTTACAAAAAAATATGTTAAAGTTCAAGTTATTCAGCTCATGTTTTTAGTCTTTCAAAATGAAGGATAATGAACAGCTGTAATTTTTAGGTGTGGTAAATTTAAGATGCAAGAAGTATGCTTCTCATAGAGTTCAAACAAACTATTGTACCAAAGTCAACCACACATTATATGTAGAATAAGAAATGAATGAAGTGGAGTTTGAAGCATGAGAATGTAAGCCTAATTTTGATCATTGTAGCTAATATCTATTTAGATGTATGGCATAGTCACTTCTGTTATTTTGTTTGATTCTCTTGCTACCACAATTCCCTATGAAAACTGTGCAGAAGCATGTAGTGATTGATAGACAAACAATTGTTTTGTGGTCCCAAAAACATCAATGGTAGAAACTGTTTAATGGGTTGTAATAAATAGCCTTAGGGCTTTGGGAAAATCTGAAATATTTTTTCAGGTTGAGGACCTATCGTATTTATCTGTAAGCCACTTAGGTGTGCCACCGTGTTGTTTCACTCACTGCCCACTGTTTGGTGTGTTATTTCACTTTATTGCCTATTTGCCTCTCATTGGTCATAATTGACATAAATTATGTACTGTGGGAGCCTGCAACTACCTGGTAGGCCAAGTAGATTTGGTCTAAGTGCAGCAAGATGGTTGGATAAATAATGAGAAGATGAGAAACATAAGAAAAAGTCTTTTGCATCCAAGAAACCATGTCAAACTTACTATTATTTTTAATTTTTTGGATACAGATCATTGAACTGTTAGATTCTTTGGAGAGTGAAATTCACAGCGGATCAATTTCCCAACAGGGTGGGGCAAATTATGGAGGTAAGTTTAAAGAAGTTAAACAAGTCATGTCAGTGTAAACTAGTGTTGAAGGAAATATGATTTCAATCCTTATTCAGCCCTTCTATCAACATCCACTTTTCAATGCATTAAGCTTGATTAAACTTAAATAACTTCTCATCAGCCAAGATGCTGACCCCACATTAGCAGAGATGCGAACCTCTGGAAATAATAAAATCTGGAGAGGTTTAAATTTAAACACATTTTTTGGGCTCACATTCACCTTTTGGTCAACCTTACAAGTCTTAGCTTGCTTTATTTTGAAATAAGAGAGTAAGAACAATCCTGGTGTATAGTGATAAACATGTCTGCTTTCTTTGAGTTTAATGGCTGATATTGACTTTCCAGCTCAAAATTTAATAGATGTTGGAATCATAGAACAGTATTTGAAGCAATACAAGCATAAGGTTTTCATAAATCCTACAGAGAGTCCTTTGCAGGTAAAGAATTACCTTCTATATGCCAATAGAATGGTGCTCTCCTTTAATTGTGTTGTAGCACTAATCTCCAAAGTAGATTTATATTATTGTAGAAACATGCATTGTATCTATAGACACCTATGAAAAAGGAAGTTCAATATTGTCTCTTATGGTAATTACTTCTTGTGTGTCTGTATCGGACCTAACCCTTTAATGCTTATAGATTTGCCAGGTTTTTTTAGTGTCATAGTTTAAAAGACAATGTAAAATAGTTTGTGATGTATTTTTTACTATTTCCTGATGCAATTCTGTCAGTTTATTATCAGCATTCAGAATAAAGGGTAAATTTAAGATTGCATTTCAATTTCAGCAATTGATTAGCTGTCTTTTTTAGTTGGTCTGTGATGTGTAAGTTCAGGTTTGAATAAGGTTAAAATAATTTGTCAACACTGAATTTGTTTTCCACATCTGCAGGGAGGAGCCCCCTGTATTTTCACCTTTGAACCTGAGCTGTCAACAGATATTAATGTGAAAGCTACCTTTGGCAATTTAGAACCAAATATACTAGAGGAGACAAGTCTTGGCTACATTTGTAAAATTCCAGGTTTGTTAAATTATTAACCAACCAGGAAAATGTTTTGAAATTAACTCCTTTACAACAAAGATTCAAAAGAGACAACATTGATGTTGGGTGTTCATTGATTTATAATTTCAGTTGTTTTTTTTTAATTATGTTTATTTGTTTTTTTACTTAAGGGTAAACTCCCTAAGAGCATTATTTACTTAACCCTTTAACTCCCAAGATCTTATTGTTAATTCTCCCTTCTGTCTGCTACAATTGTTCCTTGTAAATTAGTTACAAGAATTTGGAGTATGATCAAGGTAACAAATTTTACCTGATAAGTTTGAGTTTTTTGAGTTTTTTTAAGTTTCTCATTACCTGCTTGCTGGACAATGTATGGATATTAAAGGGAGAAGTTATGTGTTAATCACTGTTAATTTAAATTATATTTAACATGTGGCCAACCCCAACTCATATCTACACATGACAGTGACCAACTCGAAAGCTCTTTGGTCACTGTACACGATTAAATATTCTTTCTTCAAGTTAACTTCTGTTTGTATTTTTTCTATATCATTGTAAGTTATGTTATGTTAAATTATTTTTTCTGTAAACAGTGTGAAATAATAAAGTGTGAAGTATGAAGTGCAAACTCCAAAGTCGATTTGCAAACGCCCTGCTATATGAAAAAGCTCCCAATGAAAAGCAAGTTTATTTTAAATTTTTTCTGTTCCTTAAAATCATTAGCAGTAGCAGTTTGGATTATAAATCCTACTAGTAAAAAAAAATTAGGTAGTAATTTAAATGGAACAAACATATGGGATTCTTCATATATAATGGTTTTCTTTCAAACCTACCAGTTATTGGTAATTTCTCTTTGTGGTACATGTAGTAAATATAATTACATATGTTATGATCCATGAAATTTTTTACCAGGACATATATCACTGTTTTATGGAGGTAATCTAATGTCTTTATCACCATTTCATCCATAGCTTCACCTAAAATGACACCTGGTGTCATTTCAGTCCTCATTTCAACAACCAATGGCACAATTCTGGCAGAGACTTTTATTGACTACTGTGGAGAAGAAAAGGAAGGGATTTGGAAGACTATCAAAAGAATTACATCTGACGCAAATCTACAGAAGATACTATTGCTACTGTACATGCGAAATAATTCAGGTGGAAAGCCTGGAGCCTGTGGTAGTGGAAGAAGGGAAGATGGAAGCAATGATGGTGGAGCCAGTGGAGGTGGAGCCAGTGGAGGTGGAAGCAGTGGAGAAGGGGCCTGTGGAGGTGGAAGCAGTGGAGAAGGGGCCAGTGGTAGTGGAGTCAGTGGATGTGGAAGAAATGGATGTGCAACCTATGGAGGTGGAACCACTGGATATCAATACAGAAGAGGTTAACACAAACTTTTAAAACTATTAGTTAAATAGTTTATTTGTTGTAATTGAAACCAAATTCCCACTTACTGGTATTGACTAGTAACACTAAACAACCAGCATTAAGGAATCTTTAAAAAAAAACATACAACGGAGGGGGTTAGTTTCTAAATAAACTGTGGTACTGCATTGGTGGGAGAGTATAACCAGATAAACTAATTTGGTATTATCAACTGAATTGATAACGTAAATTGGCCTCCGTAGAGTTTTGTAGCTGATGTTTTGAGTGTTGGCCCTTCGTCAGAGCAAATGATGAAGCTCTGAAATAACGAATGCTCAAAATGCCAGCTCTTTAAAAGCCCTCAACAATAGCCAATTTACACTATGAACTCTGTTGATGATACCAAATTACCTTAAAGGAAAAAAAAGCAGCAGAGCCACTTTTTGACTTTTCATTTGTCATAGCCTGAGTACTACAAAGAGAACTTAAACTAAGTAAGCGGTCTAGGGATGTGGAAGAGAGAGGTAGTTGTTGACTTTCTGAAATCATTGAAGATGAGTACCTGCCCAAGTGAAGGGTACAAGTGTGAGTTAAATTCATTTTGATGTGATGTAATATTTCCTTGTTTTGTTTCTTTTTATCTCCCATTATGAAAAATGATATCAGACAAAAATAGTATAAATTAATTAAGGCCAAGAATAAATTTGAATCACAACATTTTTCCTTGCTAGGGTTTTAAAAAGGAAACACATATCATTTTGATTTTTTTCATGGTATCAATCTCATTTTTGAAAAGCAGGCTGCAGTGATTCTCATGTTTCACTTTGATTGTGTTAAATTCAGATGCTTCTCAACCGGACTCAGATGTAGAGTCAAAGTTGTATGAGCTTATACAAAAATGCAGTGTGTGTATCTGGACACAGGAACCATCTGTCACACAAAATAAAGGTAAATATATGAAAGAACCAAAGTGTAGCAAGTATAAAGTTGACATAATAGTTTTATTGAACCTATCTTAGATGGAATTTAAAGGAAGCTAAATTTGTTTGGAGTAAATTAGCACTGATCCTGGTCGTTCAAAGTAAATGACTTTGAAGATAATCTTGCCAATGTGATTTGTTTTGGTAATGTATTGGACTGACTGGAGTCTCGTTCAATCAGTGTAACCATATGACTGATTGAGAAAGTCAAATGACTGAAAATCATATAACAGATTATAGTCAGAATTAAGCAAATTATGCTCAGCCTGTGGTCCATAAATCAAACTTACAATGAAATGAGAGAAACATTGGTCAAAGACATACTTAAAAAATAGTCCCGTGAGGGTACATGAGGTCACTGCTAATGAATAGTAAACTGAGTTTTAGACACTGTCAGTTTTATTGTTGAAATGTAGTTTGTACAGTGTTTTACCAAAACTTGAGAATGAATGTTAAGATGAAACTTTTTGGACCTATCAAAATAATTTACAAAAAGGGAGGTTTTGTAGTGTGCCAATGTTCAGGGACAGGGAGTAGGATGTTCATGTCATTGCTAGGTAGAATAGTATTTGAAGTGGTTGTCACTATAAGTGCCAACAAGTAAAATTGAACAAAGAAATTGATCCAATTATTCCTGAATTGTGTGTTTTCTATCTGACATGATTTGAGGTCTATATTATGCGAAATAACACCATTACCAAATATTAGAAGTCTTGTACAGTGTACATTATAGCGTCTACAACAAGAAATGGGATAAAAGGAAGGGAAAAGAAATTTAAATAAAAATCAAAGTTTGTTTGCAAGATGTATCAAACCAGCAATCCTCAGCTTCCCAAACGAACTTTATAGGGACAGACATTGTGACATGAGGTCTTACTTGTAATGGTCTTTCTTACACTTACTTACACACCATTGACATAGAGCCAGTGAGGCTAAGAAGAAGTATGCTGATCTTTTCATTTTGCAAATAATCAGTACCGCCCTTTACACAGATAGGATATTTTAACTGCACAATTACACTGTCCAGATAGAAGTGATACATGCTCACTGTCCTACTAGCACTAAAATCGGGAAGCTGTGCCAATCCTGTTTGAAAATTTTCAGTGGTTGCTTCAATATTTAACAGTGTTAAGAAATTAAAATCCTCAGCAGTGTCATTGTTTTGAATCGAGTTTGAAATGTTTGCTCCTCAAATTTGAGTTTATAAAGTTGACTTCCCTTTATTTTCTTCGCCATATTTTTGCTATCTGTGGTTAAATTTCAAAATGATCATGATTGTGTAAAGCAAAAGGGTGAAGTATAACATTTATTGTCAACTTTTGGTATTTTTTGGTGAATTGTTACTGTAGCTAAGTTCTTCTCACACTTAAATTTTCATGTGAAGTGTTCTTTCTCACAGCATGTACTGAAGTTGAGGAGGATTTGGAAGATGATCAACTGTCATGCACTCAGGAAAGCGATGAACACTATTTTGCTGACACAGAGGGTTACTCAAGTGTTTCATCTGAAACTGATAGTGCTTTGTCTGATTCAGAAAGCTGGGATGAATCTTTAAGTGGTGAGTTTGTATTCAACTGTGTTATTAAATTTCAATTAATTTGGTTTCCTTGAGCTTACAATAATAATGAACATGTGAACATGTACAAAATGAGCTATAATTTAAACTGTAAGTAGAAAGGGTTCAAATCACAGGATGAAAGGATAATGAATATTGATTCTTGTTATCATTTATCAAAGATGTAAGGAGAGGTTAAAAATCTGGTGTTAAGATACACTTTGGGCTTTGCTTTTGTTTTTAAATGTGTTGACCTCATAAACCTTTAGAATGCAAATCAGGTTTTCAGTGGTAGGTACACCTCTAACAAAACATTTTGTCTTTCAATTCTCCACTGAGTTTTAGTGCTCCAGTTCATCAAATTTCTGAGAATTTTTTTGTAGGCACTATTATTAGTAAATCAATTAGTCATTTATGATTATAAATATTGTTTTCATAACACTGTCTCTTTGTTCAGTGATATATGGAGTGACTTTCATTTTTATCTTCTTTATCCAGATTCTTCACTTTCATTCTCCTGGGTGAATTCTAGATCAAGCAAATCTCAAGAAGCCATTCCTGAAACAGAATCAACCCAACATTCACACAAAGCTGTTAACAGTAAACTTGATGTGAGCCATGAAATCCTAGCACAGATGACAGAGGGTTTCACCGGTGAGGATAGCATTGGTGACCATAAATGTGTTGGAAGTGCTGTCCGTCATAAATGGAACACATCTTTACCAGAGTCAAAAAACATTGAAGAAAATTGTGAAAAAGATGACCACATTGAAATGCAGGATTCAAGTCAGGAATGGGCTTTCTATTCTGAGGCACTTCACGGATTCAAGTCAGGAATGGGCTTTCTTTTTGAGGCACTTCACGCAGAAAATGCTAAACCAAAAGATTCAGAATCAATTCTTTCTGTAATTTCAAACCAGCAGTCAGCAACACATGCTGGACCAACTACTCAATCTCAGGCAGCTCAATCTCCCGTAAGCAACCCTTTATGGAATGGAGACAGCAAATTAAACATGGCCCCTCCACAGTGTAGTGATGAGGAAATACACTCAGGTCAGGAATGGGAAGAATCAGGTAAATATTCTGATGCAAATGAGAGTACAATTATTTTTATCTCCCCTTGTTGAAAGAATCATTTGTATCCAGATAAAAATAACTATTCAGTGTTTACAAATTCCTGTTATAGGCCTTAAACTGAATTTTTCATATTTATTTCAAGAATTAGTCACACAGAAATGGCAGAGTGTTATGGATCTACAGGTTATGGCTAGGAATTATGTGTTCATAGTCAATTTTACATTTATGCCTAATTGATTCCACTCTGGGGTTATATTGATGGAGATTCGGTTTCAAATTCTGTTTTAATTTAACAGAAACTTGTTTTAATAAATACCGGTAGTGAGAACTGTAGCATTAAATCAAAGAAGTAAAATAATTGAGACAAGTGGTTAATTTTTGATTAGCTCACTTTCAAACCCGGTCAATGCTGCTTCCATGTCCTCCAAATACAACCCCATCCATTCATAAGCCATCCCTTAACTTCCCAGAAAGTTGGTTCTAAGACTAAGATTATTCTAAAGCAGGAAAATCTTTAGAACCTGTTCCGTTATTAAAACCAACTCAGTATCTGCATAATGTCATTAACAAGGAAACTTACGTGAACCATGATATTTTGCCTGCACTTATTGAAGGGGAAGGTCTCGCCAGTTGGTTTGATCTTTGTGAGAATGAAGATGCTGGAAAGAATAAGCATTCAAAATGGGAAATGTCATCTGTTGAACCAAATAAGACTGATGGAGGTGTGGAGAAAGATGTCTTTGATTCAGAGGAAGAATTAAGCCAAGAACAGGGGCTCTTTTGTGAACAAGGGAACTCGCATGTTCACCTATCATTACCAGATGATACCTCTGTTCAGAGTCGTCGTCCTGAAGTGAAAAAAAAAGAGAGCCAGGTGTGTTTGTTATGTGTAGTTTTTTTCCCAGCATTTGGAAGTTAGATCCTCGAGGGCAGAATCTTAATTGTTCATTTGCAGAACTTTACACAATGTTTCACAAGGTGAGGTGAATGCATGTAGAAAGCATCTAACAACTGTATACACGTGATTTTTTTAATCAGTTATGAAGGATTTCAAACTGTGAACTTTAATCTTCGCAAGAGCTCAGTCTTCTTTCATTATTGTACTATTAGCTTCTAAGTGCAAACATGTTTCCTTTCTTTTGAGATTTTTTCACCTTTGGTTAATATAACTTGTATGGTCGTAAATCCTTGGTACTAATTTATTTCAAAACATTTTAGTTGATGTTTTTCATGCAAGATGGCAATCTTGAAAACAGTGCTTGAACATGAATAGCAACAGAGTTCATCAAAATGGCAGCCACATTCACATTGCAAGTTTTAATCTTAATTGTTGAAAAAAAGAAAAGTCGAGCCCAAAACTTAACATCTTTCTTAATCTATTTATACACACACTACGTTGCTGATCTAAGCAGTCTTTACTGACACGCATATGACCTTAGTTTATACAGGATAAGTTCACCAATGCGTTCTCAGTAGTAGAGTGGCAGAGAGTCAGTTGACCACAATACCGCAAGGCCTGAGGTTTCATTCCTCATGGGGAACACACAATTTTAGTTTTTGTCTGACTGCAAGCAGTCCCAACTTTTTGCCGAAGTCCGTCTCACGAGTTAAAAAAATCTGTGAATGAACACTTAGACTTAGCATTGCAAAAACTACTTTAAGTTCAGTTTTTATTTTTCAGCTCTAATTCCTATCACGTTTAAAAATTGGGAATGGAAGTATCGTTAACTCTTAAGCTAATTTTGTCGCTTAAAACTAATATGTTTGTTTTAACCCGAATCGAGTATTACTTAGATTATTTAGTTTTTATGTAAATATTTTAAGCGCCAAATAGTGTACTTCAATTGGACAAGAAAAAAAAAAACTCGCGGCCTTATTGGACGGGATGGATAAAAAGAAAGGCAAACCTGGTTAGAAAATATTTGGAGAGCATAGCCTTGTTCAGAGAAGGGCTAAATTTATTGAGAAGTGCATAACTTGTGAATTCCTTGATATTTAGATGCGTGCAACAAATTTACCACGATTAAATCGTTGTTTATTGGACTTTACTGCCAGATATATGCGTGGTAATGTGTTAAAAATTTGTGAAAGGAGAAGGATTTTGTAACAAACTCTTCCATTCAACTATCGCTCTGACGAAGGGCTCTTCCATTTAACAATATTATCTTCCATTCAGCAATATTTTCAGGAAAAGAACACCTATATTTCGAATGATATTTACCGTTGAAAATTGCTCCCAGTTCAGGTTTCATGTTCTAGCCATTATTCTTATCACGTTTAATAATCAAACTATCGTTGATTCCAAAACTAATTTTGTCGCTTGAAAAGTTAGATGTGTATTATTTCCGAAGCGAGTATTATTTAAGTTACATAGTTTTCCTTTAAATTTAAAACCTCTAACAACTCTCTCGATCGGACCAGAACTGAAAACTGTCTTAAAAGGTTTGAAAATCGTGGTTAAGCAAGAAGGGACAGAAGCCATGTCTGTGGTGAGGGGGGCTCATTGTGTTGTTCCATTCTTAGTGCCCTTTCTTACCATTAAATTGAATTAGTATCATATGCTTAACTGTTGTACAAGGTAATACAACTTCGGACCTTATGCTTAAAACACATTTGAAGAGTATAGTCGTCCGAAAAGCAGACTCAACCATTTACTACAGTACTTTCTCATTGTTTTTCTTTTCTATATTTTTAAGTACACTTCACTCATTGGGGCTGTAAGAAGTGGTCAGACTGATATTGTAAGGTTGTTCATAGAGAACGGAGCTGATGTCAACAAAGAAGGATGGGTACGTTAGAAGGATAAATTGTATATGCTATAAAGAGTAAAGTCAGAGTCTGAGAGTAAGAGTTTAAATTTCATTTAAATTTGTAGTAGAATGTAGTCGTCTTAAAAGCAGATTCAACCAAATATCCTTAGGGTGGTCATTAAAGAAGAGGAAATGTGGATTATATATTACTTTTCTTTCTCATTGTTTTTCTTTTCTATATTTTGAAGAACACTCCACTCATTGAGGCTGCAAGAAATGGTCACACTGATATTGTAAGGTTGCTCATAGAGAACGGAGCTGATGTCAACAAAGGAGAAGAGGTACGTTAGAAGGATAAATTGTATATGTTATAAAGAGTAAAGTCAGAGTCTGAGAGTAAGAGTTTAAATTTCATTTAAATTTGTAGCAGAATGTAGTCGTCTTAAAAGCAGATTCAACCATATATCCTTGAGGTGGTCATTAAAGAAGAGAAAATGCGGTTTATATATTACTACACTTTTTCATTGTTTTTCTTTTCCATATTTTGAAGGACACTCTACTCTTGAAGGCTGCAAGAAATGGTGACACTGATATTTTAAGGTTGCTTATAGAGAACGGAGCTGATGTTAACAAAGAAGGATGGGTACGTTAGAAGGATAAATTGTATATGTTATAAAGAGTTAAGTCAGAGTCTGAGAGTAAGAGTTTAAATTTCATTTAAATTTGTAGCAGAATGTAGTCGTCTTAAAAGCAGATTCAAGCATATATCCTTAGGGTGGTCATTAAAGAAGAGGAAATGTGAATTATATATTACTTTTCTTTCTCATTGTTTTTCTTTTCTATATTTTGAAGAACACTCCACTCATTGAGGCTGCAAGAAATGGTGACACTGATATTGTAAGGTTGCTCATAGAGAACGGAGCTGATGTTAACAAAAGAGGATGGGTACGTTAGAAGGATAAATTGTATATGTTATAAAGAGTAAAGTCAGAGTCTGAGAGTAAGAGTTTAAATTTCATTTAAATTTGTAGCAGAATGTAGTCGTCTTAAAAGCAGATTCAAGCATATATCCTTAGGGTGGTCATTAAAGAAGAGAAAATGCGGTTTATATATTACTGTACTCTACATTTGCCAGTGTGTTTTTCTTTCGAGTTTTTTTGGTCTTTTTGGTCTTTTTTGAGCGGAGTTGAAGTCAACGAAGAAGAAGGGGTAAGCTAGAAGTATAAATGGGATATGTTATGAGGAGTTTCGTCAGAGTTTGAGAGTCAAATATTTTATGGCTGTTCAAATTTTTTCCCTGTTGAGCAAAACGTTGCAAGAAATTGCAAGCTCTTTGTATTTGTTTCTGGTTTTTAATTTGGTAACGTTACAGTGCCACCCCGGTCATGAAATGATATGCTTGCGAGCTAATAGGAAGCTTGGGTAGAAAGCAAGGCAATGAGACTATTATGGCTTTATTCAAAAAAAGGCTTAATTTCTTTAGGGGCGCAAAACATTAATGTTATGCGTTTATCAGAAGCGCGCACGAGATTCACTATGCTTGAATCGTTGTTTACTAGACTTTACGGCCAGAAAACTGCGTGGCGATTTCTTGACATTCTTTTAAAAGGTGAAGGATTTCGTAGCAAATTTCTCTTTTTAACAGTAGCTTTAGGAAATGAACACATGTTTAGCATTGCAAACCTACTCTAAGTTCATTTTTCATTCTTCAGCCTTAATTTGTTTCACGTTTAAAATTTGGGAATCAAACTATCTTTAACTCTAAAGCTAATTTTGTCGCTTGAAAAGTAACTCGTCTGTTTTTTTCTCAATCGAGTATCACTAAGATTATTTAATTTTAAGCGCTCAATAGCCAATTAGACCGGAAATAAAAAAGTCGCGGTTTAGCTGGACGGGAAGTTTGCATTCATTCTTGATAGAAGTCGTGGATGAAAAGAAAGGCCATCGTGGTCAGAAAATATTTGGAGACCATAGTTTTATTCAAAGAAGGGCTTAATTAGTTAGAAAGTGCAAAACTTGTGAATTCCTTGATTTTTACATGCGTGCAACAGATTTACCACGATTAAATCGTTGTTTACTGTAATTTACTGCCAGATAATTGCGTGGTAGTGTGTTAAAAATTTGTGAAAGGAGAAGAACTTCTTAAGAAGTGCACAACGTATGAATGTCTTGCGTTTTTGAGACGCGCTTACGAGATTCACTATGCTTGAATCGTTGTTTACTAGACTTTATGATTAGAAAACTGCGTGGCAATGTATTGGAAATTTTTAAAAGGTGAAGGATTTCGTTACAAATTTCTCCATTTAATGATACTTTTGGGAATGAACACTTATTTAGCATTGCAAAAACTACTCTAAGCTCAGTTTTCAATTTCCAGGCATAATTTGTATCATGTTTCGAATTTGGGAGACAAACTATTGTTGGCGGCCCCTAAAGCTAATTTTGTCGCTTGAAAAGTAACTTGTCTGTTTTTTTCTCAATCGAGTATCACTAAGATTATTTAATTTTCATTTAAATATTTTGTACGCTAAATAGTGTGCGCAAATTAGACCGGAAATAAAAAAGTCGAGGTTTATCTGGACTGGAAAGGTTCATCGGCAGAAGCCATGAATCAAAAGAAAGGCAAACATGGTCAGAAAATCTTTGGAGAGCATAGTTTTATTCAAAGGAGGGCCAAATTTGTTAAGATGTGGAAAACATGTGAATTCCGTGATTTTTCAGTCGTGTGCGTGAAACAGATACATCATGATTAAATCGTTGTTTACTGGACTTTACGGCCAGATAATTGCGTGGTAATGTGTTGAAAATTTATGAAAGGAGAAGGATTTTGAAACAAACTCTTCTTCTCCACAAAACTTTTAGGAAACGAAGACTTGTGATTAAAACGATATCTAATTTTGAAAAGCTGCTCCAAGTTCAGTTATCATTTTTCTGCCATCATGAATTCTTATCACGTTTAATAATCAAACTATCGTGAATATGAAAGCTATCTTCACAGTAATGAACACTACGTGAGCAGTAGTGAAAATAAGGCTTGAAAAGAATTCAGGCTTCTGCGGGATTTGAACCCATGACCTACTATCGTTGATTCCGAGGCTAATTTTGTCGCTTGAAAAGTTTGATGCCCATAATATCCGAAACGAGTATTTTTTGACTTTACTGCCAGATAATTGAGTGGTGATGTGTTGAACATTTTTAAAAGGAGCAGGATTTTAAAACAATTCCTCTATTTAACAGTGCTTTTGGGAAGGAAATACTTATATTTAAAATGATATTTACTGTTTAAATGCTGCTCCAGGTTCACTTTTCATTTTCCAGCCATAATTTAAATCAGGTTTCCTGAATCGGGTAAAATTTAATTTCTTTACTTTTCATTTAAATTTGTAACCTCCCACAAGTGTATCTCCATCGAACAGGAACTGAAATACGACCTTGAAAAGTTTTTTATGGCCACTCAAAGTTTTGGTTTGCTATTGAGTAAAACGTTCCAAGAAATGGCGAGCTCTGTCCATTTCCTTCTCAATGTTTCTCTCGTAACGTTATAGTGCCATCCTTGTCATATGATGGTGTGCTTGCGAGCTACTTGGAAACTGGGATGGAAAGCAAGGCAAATCTGGCCATAAAATATTTCAAGACGGAAGCTTTATTCAAGAAAGGGCTTAATTTCTTTAAAAGCGCAAAACGGAGGAACGTCTTGCGTCTATTAGACGCACGTTTACAGATTCACCATGCTTGAATCGTTATTTACATGACTTTAAACCAGAATATTACATAGTAATATGCCGAGATTTTTCTAAACGGAGCAGGCGTTTTTTAACAAATTTTTCTATTTAACAATAATTTTAGGAAACGAACAGTTACTTCTACCACAGCAAAAAGTAGTCTACATTCAGGTGTCATTTTCCAGCCATAATTCGTATCATGTTTAAAATTTGGGAATCGACCTATCGTTAACTCTAAAGCTAATTTTGTTGCTCAAAAAGTAGGAAGTTCGTTTTGTTCGGAATCGAGTATTACTTAGTTTATTTAGTTTTTATTTAAATATCTTAACCGCCAAATAGTGTACTCCAATCGAACCGGGAATGAAAAACTGGCGATAGTTCGATTCCCAAATTTTAACAATACTTTTAGGAAGGAAACATTTATATCTAAAATGATATTTACTGTTGAAAAGCTGCTCCAGGTTCACTTTTTATTGTCCAGCCATGATTTAAATCGGGTTTCTCGAATCCAGTATAATTTAATTTATTTAGTTTTCATTTAAATTTGCTACCTTCAAAAAGTGAAAAAACCGGAACTGAAGAACCATCTATAAAGGTTTAAAGCTCGCGGCTCGGGTAAGCTAGACAGAAGTCGTGTCAATGGTGAGGGGGTTCATCGTGTTGCTTCATTCTTTGTGCCCCTTCTAACCATTATTATAAATTCATATGATTTGGTGAACTGTTGCACAAGGTAATACTCCTTCCGACCTTATTCTAAAAAAACCTGCAGGATGTAATCATCTCTAAAGCAGATTAGACCACATATCGTTGCGTTAGTCATTACAGAAGAGAAAGTGGGCTTTATGTATTACTGTACCTTCTTATTGTGTTTTTTTCTTTCCTAGATTTTCGGGCACACTCCACTTACTGAAGCTGTAACTAATGGTCACACTGATATTGCCAGGTTGCTCATACAGAACGGAGCTGATGTCAACAAAGGAGGGGTACGTTGGAAGCATAAATCGTATATGTTAAGTCAGAGTATCTCGATTGAACCGGAACTGAAGAACCATCTATAAAAATTTAAAACTTACGGCTCGGGTAAGCTGGACAGAAGTCGTGTCAATGGTGAGGGGGTTCATCGTGTTGCTCCATTCTTTGTGCCCCTTCTAACCATTATTAAAAATTCATATGATTTGGTGAACTTTTGCACAAGGTAATACTCCTTCCGACCTTATTCTAAAAAAACCTGCAGGATGTAATCATCTCTAAAGCAGATTAGACCACGTATAGTTACGTTAGTCATTACAGAAGAGAAAGTGGGCTTTATGTATTACTGTACCTTCTTATTGTGTTTTTTTCTTTCCTAGATTTTGGAGCACACTCCACTTACTGAAGCTGTAACTAATGGTTACACTGATATTGTCTGGTTGCTTATACAGAACGGAGCTTATGTCAACAAAGGAAGAGGGGTACGTTGGAAGCATAAATCGTAAATGTTAAGTCAGAGTATCTCGATTGAACCGGAACTGAAGAACCATCTATAAAAATTTAAAACTTACGGCTCGGGTAAGCTGGACAGAAGTCGTGTCAATGGTGAGGGGGTTCATCGTGTTGCTCCATTCTATGTGCCCCATCTAACCATTATTATAAATTCATATGATTTGGTGAACTGTTGCACAAGGTAATACTCCTTCCGACCTTATTCTAAAAAAACCTGCAGGATGTAATCATCTCTAAAGTAGATTAGACCACGTATAGTTACGTTAGTCATAACAGAAGAGAAAGTGGGCTTTATGTATTACTGTACCTTCTTATTGGGTTTTTTTCTTTCCTAGATTTTGGGGCAAACTCTACTTACTCATGCTGTAACTCGTGGTTACACTGATATTGTCTGGTTGCTTATACAGAACGGAGTTTATGTCAACAAAGGAAGAGGGGTGCGTTGGAAGCATAAATCGTAAATGTTAAGTCAGAGTATCTCGATTGAACCGGAACTGAAGAACCATCTATAAAAATTTAAAACTTACGACTCGGGTAAGCTGGACAGAAGTCGTGTCAATGGTGAGGGGGTTCATCGTGTTGCTCCATTCTTTGTGCCCCTTCTAACCATTATTATAAATTCATATGATTTGGTGAACTGTTGCACAAGGTAATACTCCTTCCGACCTTATTCTAAAAAAAACCTGCAAGTTGTAATCATCTCTAAAGCAGATTAGACCACGTATAGTTACGTTAGTCATTACAGAAGAGAAAGTGGGCTTTATGTATTACTGTACCTTCTTATTGTGTTTTTTTCTTTCCTAGATTTTGGGGCACACTCTACTTACTGAAGCTGTAACTAATGGTTACACTGATATTGTCTGGTTGCTTATACAGAACGGAGCTAATGTCAACAATAGAAGTGGGGTACGTTGGAAGCATAAATCGTAAATGTTAAGTCAGAGTATCTCGATTGAACCGGAACTGAAGAACCATCTATAAAAATTTAAAACTTACGACTCGGATAAGCTGGACAGAAGTCGTGTCAATGGTGAGGGGGTTCATCGTGTTGCTCCATTCTTTGTGCCCCTTGTAACCATTATTATAAATTATAATAAAGTTCGGATATAACGCGCGCTGTCATTGGTTGAAAGAGCGTGCTCTATGAGAGTATAGAGCATAGAGCTGAGCTACAGCTGTCACGCCATCTGCCAATTGTACTATGTTCGACCTTTTCCGGGACTTCTTTTTAACTTTTTTCCGATAATTGAAAGTGAAATTTCGGAACTGAAGCGAGCCGGCAAGTAGCAACAGAAGAATTAAACAAAGGTTTGTAAACATTTTAGGCGCCGTAATTTACGTTATTAAAACGTGAGCAGATACGAAAATCCTCAAAGGAAAAACAAAATTAACATTCCGAGTTTTAAAGATTTTCACGCTCAGTTAGATTGCAAGCTTCCTTCCGTTATTAAAAATCAAACACAGCTAACACTCGTATAGTATATAAAGTTCAGTGTTCAAAAACAGAACAGAACAAAACAGAAATGATGAAAAATATAACCAACTGGCATAATTGTTAAAATTCATTCTAATCATGACAGTGTCTGACCGAATATGATCATGCTGAAGTCCATCGCGGCTCGCTCATCGTGGCGATCTCCGGTCATCACAGTAAAGCAAGCCTCAGAAACTACATCGGCCGCCCTTCGAGTGAAAAAATAAGAGCTTGCTCTGATATCCTTTCCGATACGTTGAGTGGAAAGTCACATCTGTCACTGCAGCCGAGTTTTGCGGCGCTGTCATCCCGAGCGATCTTCATGTTCCGGTGAATTCGGCTGTCGTTCATTCAAAAAACACTCGCCCTGAACAGTTTGTTTTCTACCTTGCCATGTGAAAAAACTCACGTGTTTTTATGAGCCATAATTCGGCTGAAGTTCACTGAACTTTTCACTTCAAGATTCTGTATTAGAGACTTAAAAACTTCAGGCAAAAGTGTTAAATTCGACCTACCGAACTATTTTAGTTTGTAAACTATCGCAGAAGGTGAACTTTGATAGTTTTTTAACTTTGATGGTTTTTTAACTTTGATGGTTTGACACTTTTGACAGCTTTAGTCTTGTACAGCCAATCAGATTATTTGAACCATTCGAACAGGGATTCTGATTGGCTTATTGTAGCGTGCTTCATGAGAGTATAGAGCATGCTGACGACACTGTTGTTCGCTTTGGAAATTTTAATTCTAATTGTGCTGTCTCTCTTCAAGATAAATAATAGTTCAGTTGCTGTTGCTCATGTGTTCAGATTATCATTTGTAGCTGGCCTCAAAAGGGATGTGTAAAAGCCTCATCAAGAAGGTCTTTGTGTTATGCCATTCATGGGTCTAATTATGATTGTTTTGCCAAGTATAAAACTCGTTGTAGATTTTATCATCTTTACTGTGAATGCTCTTTCACTTCTGCTAAGCATATGTTAATTGGATGCTACACACTAAGTTTCTTGAATTCTGGATAATGTTGCTTAGACAGCAGCCGTGTCATGAGGGTAACAGCGTTGTTTCATATGCGGCGCTTCTACCCACGCAGTAGTATTTATACACGCAGTGTACTAGTTGGTGGACTGTTGTATGAGGCGAAACTCCTCACTTGTCTTCGTGAGTGGAGTTTTGTCAAGGTTTCGATTGCTTAACTGAGTGGAGTTTTATTAACTGGTTTCGATTCGATTAACTGAAGAGAAGCCTTGGCTGAGGGTCCTCGCTCGTTTTGTTTCGTAAGGAGTACCTCTTTCCACTCAGCAGCGTAAATGCAGACTAGCGGGTGGCTTTTTTTAAAATACAACTCTTAGAGATGTTTGGCTACAAATCTTATAGAATAGAGTTGGCTGAAGCCGGGGCAGATTTCATATAGATTGTAGCCCTTAGAGGAAAATGGTTGACCTTTAATTATCTCTGTCTCGTTCTGTTGTTATTTTGAGAATCACTACTTTTTAGCTGAAGTAGTATGTGCTCAAATCCTCTCCTCTCTCTTCAGAAACTGCCTTTGTAATGCTACACTAATTGAGCTTCTTGAGTGAGACTTTTCAGTGAACTCATGAATGCTTTTTAATTATTTTCCTAGTCGGACCTGCGTAGAAAGTTCGAAGCTGATGCCAGGGTATGTGTGGTTGCTCTTTAGAAGAAGTTTAATTTTGTTATAGAAATTACTCATTGGCTAATTGACCATATTTACTCTCACCATCTAGCATAAAAAGGTAGGTCAAATGGGATATTTCAGGAAACCAACATCATGTTGCGTGCATTTTGTGAACACTACTGTATTAGTATGAACTTATTCAGCTGAACTTCCCTGATCTTCTTTGTTATATCTCAGATGTGGTCTCTTAGCTGAATTTAAAACGCTTTATGAATTTAAAAGCATTCGTTCTTGTGAAGCATGTCAAGTGGTGCATTCCTACCCGTGCTGTGTTCCAAAAGATTTACTTTAGCAAGCTGAAAAACGGTGATAGCCCCAGTTTGCATTTGTGTATATTATTTTTTTCATTAAGCATCTCAGCGGTCCGGAATCCTAAATCCTCGAATCTGATATGCTAATTCCGCGCCCTCCAGCGGTCCTTGTTTTCCCATTCGGACCCAGGTGTATTTTGCACCTTGCAATCGATTTACGAGAGAGGCTTAAAGATGTAAATATGGTAACAAGTGACTCACAGTTAAGGATTCAGACAACGAAGGTTATCAAGGATAGCGAATTTTATCATTCCGAAAAGAAAAACCCACTTCAAAACAAAGAAAACTATCATGAAACACAAACTGCCAAAGAAATGTTCAACATATTTCGGGTTCTTTTTGCAAGCATTTTGTTAAGTTTCAGGGAAAAAAAATTGTTATTCACCAGCCTAGATCGGTCTGTATTTGGAAAAAACTGTGCCCTCTGTCTTGTGTACCGCCGTCGGGGACAGTTTTTACCAATACGGACCCTCCGATTGATGAATAATGTTTATTGGTTTATCTGGTGTGTGTTAAACATTTAGTGTCAGTGTTTATTCGCTATTCTGAGCTTGGTCATAGTACTGAGAGGGTAAAGCAACAACTTGCACTCTAATGATAATCAAGTTTAGCTTTCAGTGCATTTACTGATTGTTGTATTATCTGACGTAATTTCAGGATGCTAAACTATCACTTGAAAGAGAATTAAATATACAGGTATGTTTGGAAGTTATAAAGGTATATTTCTGAAAACATTTTCATTAATATTTTCAAAAATCAGTCGTATGAGCGGAGTGATGTGTCAACCCTTACCCTGAATTTATCTACAGTTACACTTCTTGTAGGATATGTAATGATTGAATGATAAATATATTGATGACGTGTTAGAAATATTTGCTGTGCAAAAAAACAATCAGTGATGTACCTGCAGCCCAACTTTGACTGAGAGACGGTATCACAGTTGATACCGTCTCTCAGTCAAAGTTAAGTTCATGTCTGGCAGCTTATACTTGACTGAAAAAAGGAGACGAAGAAGAACAAAACAGAAAAACACTTTGAACTAGTAAATATTCAGCAAATACGTATTGTAAGGGTGACAAGTAATTGATAATAGAGGGGTCTATAAATTTTTAGCTCGGTAGTGAAAGAGGGAGGGTGTTTTTTTTTTCGTCGTGAACGTGGAACAGAAAAATAAACGAAAAATTCAGTAGTTCGATTCCTCATGGGAACTTTATTTTATCCACCCACGTGACAAAACGATAAACATCTCTCTCCCATAAAAGGTTAATTCTGAAGTTTCGTACATTTTGTCATTTGCGTTTTCCACCTTTCCTATCGCTTATCCTTTTTACATTACCCTACTTCGACCTCTCTATCTTTCAGCAAAGGCTACTGAGTCTTATCAGTACAACACTGGCTAAAAAACGAAAACATACATTTACACTTCGCTTCTTGTTTACATTGTGTACCTTTTTTTGTTTCCTCTAGCTAAGAGGGAAGAAGATAGCAAGTTTGCCTAAAAGGCTAGGAAAGAAGTTGAAAACACAAACAGAGATGACCAGTCCGAGAGACATCGTTGAAGAAGGAAAATGTGGAAAAGACAGGATGACAGATGTCGAGCTCAGCCCGAGATGTGTTCAGTTTAAGCCTTTCATTATGGAAGAATCGCCTGGTGATTCTTCCATAATGCATCATGATTTTAAAACTATAAACAAACGTATGGACAGAGTGACATTAACAGATGTAGGCAATGCTAAACAAGATCATTGCGTTGTTGTTGAAATAGCAAAAACTCACCCTTGTGGTGATACTATCATTATTTATGGAAGGGAGATCAATGAAGAAGGATCCGGCGTGGGTGAAGCTTTTCGACTGGCGACTAAGGATCTCAAACATACTTGGGACGATGAAGAAGTGATAGCTGAAAATGTTCAAATTGGTTCAGTTGTCAAGTACGTTCAAGTAGGAGATAAATTCCTCTTTCAAGGGAACACGAAACGTCCGCGATGGGTGAGCAGGCGTTTTTTGTTTATGTTTTACTTCAATTTGGAATACCTTGCTATCTAGAAACTTATAATCCCAAGATAGAGTTTTTGAACAGGTCGAACTGTTCACACAGCGAAGCACCTATAATTTCGTTGAGCAGAATTGATCATAGAGTCAATTTTTTAAAATAACTGCATCATTTTCTGGATGACGGGATTTGAACGATCCTGATTATTACACATTACAATATCTTTGGAGTACCATTTGATCTGTTTGTTTGCTCAGTTGTTGTTGTTTTTGTTGAGGATGTTGTTGATATTGTTCTTGTTGTTGTTTTGCTGTTGTTTTTGTTGTTACAATCTCATTTCACTTCAAAGGTTTCAACGTATTTACTAAATAATGCCTGTGATTGCAGAATATGGATAAGATTTTCCTGGACCTCAGCCGTGCTGATGGCGCTCACAGAGGCTTTGGAGATGCTTTTCTTAACTCCAAAATTTTAGCCGAAGATAGTTACCAAGACTGTACACCTAAGGAGACATCATGCTTCATTAGCCTGAAATGTGGTGTGGTTGAAAATGACAGAATTTCAGTCATCACTGAGCTTGGAGAACTCTTCAATCTCAAGCTGAATTGCAGAGATGCTATCCTACCTTTATCTCCTTCTACACTGGAACTGAGTCACGAGGAAGATAACAAAGATGCTGTGGATAGCGCTGTTGTAGAGATGGAAGAGCCACTTCTGATTTCAGGAGTTGACGGTTTAAGTAAGCCGTCCTACCCAGTTCTCGGCGAGGGCCTCAACCTAAGTAAGTACATTGAACTTCTATATTGTGTGATGTTAAAACTAAATAATCACCCTACATTCTACACCCTTCTGCAGAATAATGTTTAAACCATGACAATAATAGTTTTTAAACTTTCCTCAATGCACTTTCGTCACCATTGGTCTCGCCGAGTTTAGTTTTTCGATTTGAATTGTTCCTCTAAAAGCTGGAAGATGATTATGATCAGGTCGTTAATTCCAATGGTGTGTGTCACCTACGGAGGTTAACCTCCCTGAAGAGTGGAAGGCAACCACCCACCCGCCAGAGTTTCGTTGCCTGTCAGAAAAACCTGAGCTGCATCATTGAAACAGTTTATTTCCTGTCCTCGATTAAATGTGAAGATTTTATCAAGGGTAACTAAGGGAAGGGAGGCGGTTCATCTCAGATACCCAAGATCACAATTACAAAACGGTAGACAAAGAAAGGAAGAGAAAATTTGTAAGCCCTAACCATAAAAATAAAACCATAAGTCTTCACTGTAAGGATTATGGGCCCCTTATGAGGAAATGTTGGCTGTCACGGGGGTATGGAAGCAAAAGTTTTGATTCGTTTGTATTGCGTGATGTGTCTTCTTTAAATACAAAAACATTTGGATGGATAAGCAGGCGATCCAAGCGTTATAGCAGTATTCCTTGTTGTTTCTTGCCAAGAAACCTGGTACTAGTTTTTAGAGTTTTCAGACCAGCTTACGCCTGTAATGATATTGTAGATGCTCAACTTTTTTTTATTTCTTTCTACTCAGGAGACGAGCCTAAAGAAACATCAGTCGAAATGGATAGTCCTCAAGCTGATCCTGTGGAAAAAGACGGTGAAAATGGAAAAGCCTTTTAAGTCCTGGGAAATATCAAGTGTAATTATTTTACCAGATACATGAACTGCCATGTCCAAGAAATAACTGACGCCAAAAGGCGATCTTTTTCAACGGATTGCTGAACATTAGACTTATCGTCAGAGAACACAATTTTAAGATTGTTGAAATAACTGTTGCTGTTTTTCTAGTAGTATTATGTAGATATTTATAGTAAAAATATTATATTTCAGTCATTGCTGAAGTTCCTAGATTGAGCACAACATACAGGAACCAACCTTCGTTGGCTTACATGTCTATTATTTGCCTTTAGTCCTTTGGGTACGTTTTTGTTTGACTTCAGTGCTTTGGTTGAATATCAAAACTTGCCCTCCTAACGAAACACAAGTTAAAGTGAAGCCAGTTTCACCCTAGTCACATGTTTGTAACTTAAAGTTTCATCGGCTCTATGTGATATTTATCATTGTTCTGGTTTAACAGAACTTAATGGAAAAGGACTCTACCATACGATAGTTGGTTGGTTACACCCAACTGTTGAGAATTTGTAAATAGATTTGTAAAGAGTATCTATCATAAAGCATTAGCAGGTCCTTAACTTATATTTGACGCTTGTGCTTACTGTCAAGTGCATGATGCATGGAGCACAAACCGAGCTTTACTGGGTCAAGTGTCTGTTTTGAATTTTCAAAGAGAATTTTCTCGCCAGTTCTTAAAGCGTAAATTTATGTCATTTGTTTGAATGTTCCAAGGAGGGCATTTTTCGTAAGTTCATTACCAGGATCGATATTTAAATGACCTGGATGATACGTGAATAGTTTACAAGTTTCATTTTGCCTTAAGGAAATGAAAAACTTGTTTGCAATTTCGAAAACAATTTCGAAAACAAAGCGAAATGGAAACGGTAAGCTGTTAACTTAAGATTTCGCAAAAATTTGTATGTTTTTAATACTTGGTCAATTTTATGAATAGCAAGTATTCGAAAAGTTTTCATACATGGTGCTATGCCTAATTAAAGAATTAGGTTTAGGTAAATATGCAAAAAAAGGTGAAATAATATGTTGTAGAAATAAGTAATAATGTAAATAGAATGTATACTATCAGAAGCTTGTAAATTTTATGGATCTTCATGTTCAGTTAAGTACTTTGAGGATTCAAATAAATATTCATATTATTATGCCTTGTCTCAATTACTTGTTTGCGTTAGTAAAAAGACATCGAAGTGAATAATGGGCTTAAGCAGAATTGTCAATCAATTGTTTGAAGGAATTACTTTTGGACTTAAGATAACTAAGCATTTGTTAGTTAAGCAGCAAGATTAATTGATTAATTTCGAGGGGTGAAAATGTAAAAAAATGATCAATGAAAATGTACAATGATGATCAATCAATTTTTTTGATATCGGCATTATAGTCAGCTTTCCCCAAGCAAAGGGCATTTATCTGGCGTACCACTTTACGCAGGGAACCGATGAACAATCGTGCAAAACTTTGCAGTGTTTGAATGTTTACGTTTATGAATGTAGAAAGTCGGTTGAAATCGAGTTGTTGACCGAGAACAGGTGTTTAAACTTAAATTTCAAAGACATAACATGAACAAACGTGACTTTCTGTATAAAAAACACTATCTTGGTTCCTGTTTTTCCAACTATAAGAATTCTTCCGTGAAAACAAACCCATCTGATAGCAATGAAGCAAGTTGGGAATTTTTTTCAAGATGTATCAGGAACAAAAACGTAAACAGTGATGCAAATAATAAGGAACCTAGCAACCACGTTGCATGTCATTCCACTGCTTGTCACTCACCGTTCAATTTTTTCACGTGCGTCAATGACAGCGTGCCGCATGACTTAAGTGCTCTAAATAGCTCTTGCAGTTAAATGGTTTGCTCTCTATGCCCTGGGTTATGTTTTTATTGTGTTTACGCTGTGTAACCCGAACGGTTAATGTCTAGTCAAAGTAAAGCAACTTCAGATTTGTCAGGATATGATTGTGTGTAGTTTGGTGAGATGGAAGCAGCCTGCAGTGCAATAGATATGGAGTTCTTTCTCGCTTTGTCACTTGGTTTGGTCAAAGAAGTTTACTGCTCCCCTGATAACGGTAAGTTAACGCTGATATTTTTCCATCTTTACCGCTGACTTAAAGCATAACTCGCACGTTTTCATTCCTTCTTAGCGATGGAACAATTTCGAACACATGAAATTTCTGAATAAGAGTTATTCATAACTTACAAGTTGAATAAGTTTATCATGCAATATGTTATCTCGCTTTTTTAATATTTCACGTGTAGAGTTTTTCAAATGACAATTTGCTTAACCTTTGAAAACAAGATCATGATGATACAGTTGAAGGCCTATTTTAGGTCCTGTATCTGCGCGACAATAAAGTTTGAGGGCCTTCTGCTTGTCAACTTTGTTTTTCTTAAATTTTAGTTATTGCGATCAAAACACGAAAACACCTCATGTTTTTCTTGTAATTAGTAAAAGAACAATTGTATTAGGTTTCTATTCACGTTTACTTGCTAAGCTTTGTCGTTCAAGCTTATAATTTGTGGGAAAGTAACTAAAGCTAGCCTGAAGTTTAAAACTTAAATTTTGACTCACTCCACTCCAGGAAAAAACAAACCCCTTTTGAATTTATGATTTCTTGCCCTGGCAAAACCGTATGTGATATTACAATCTCATCCTTATCTGCTAAATACAAGATGAAATTTCATTTGGGTAATTTTTTTTGTTTGTATGTTTTTTTTTTTTTGTAATCGAATGGGATTAATATCAGTATCTGGGCAGAAGGCGCTTTGTAACAGAGCTATTTGGTCGAATGTTTCAGTTCTATCTGGAGCAGTTTCAAATGATCATCGTTCTTAAAAATAATTCACTCTCAAGAGTTTTACAGAAAATTCGACAGTTTATGTGAGTTAATTAATGTCAACAACAAAAAATAATTGAATACATTTATTTTTTTTTTTGTATATCTCTCCCAAAGCAGCTGACAACTGCAACTTTTGTGAATTTTTCAACCGAAGGAAAAAAATATCCAGTTTGAAATTTTTTTTTCCCCTATTGACGATTTTTGGTCAGCTTATGAATATGAAAACAACAGATTTGAATTTGAATTTATTACCGTACCTTTTCATTCGCGTCAAAAATTAAATAGGAAAACGTGTACATTTGGAAGCTTCTCCAAACCCGAAGGAGACGCCCGAGTTGAAATTCCGGCTTCGTTTGTTCTTGCGTTCAATTGCAAATTGCAGTCAAGTCCTTAACGCGCATGCGCGACGTTTTCACTGATGAGTACATGGCATGGTGTAGTGGCGGAAGAAGAGAAGTCTTTGCGGTGCAAAATCAGCACAAATACTATGTATAATACGCTCAAAATGCATACAAATTATGCACACACTAAAAGACGTCGAGCGTTTTCTGAACGGGTCGGTCCGCGAACCTTATGAGAGATCTCTTTGTGAGCGAACATTTATGAGTGATCAGTCCATTCGAGAGGAGGGCTGCGAAATTATAGTCATTCAGATTAAAGCATGTGTCGGCCAGCGTTTTTCATACTACTCAACTAGAACTTTCCCTATGAGGTTTGCAAGAAAACGGACAAAGTACTACTATTTCTGCAAACCTTCCGTGAAAAGCTGGACCCGAGTAAGTCTGAAATGTCCTGGAAAGAAGCACAATCAAGTGGACAAGCTGGTGGAAGTGATATACGCGTGCTCGTGCAGGAATTGCTCGAAAGGCCCAAAAAGCTCAGAAAACTCGTTAAGATGAGATTTAGCAAGATTTTGATTAATCTGATAAGTATGAGTGAGAAATTTGATAGTTTGAAGCTTCTGTAGCACTTCGCTTCCTAGAAGTTTTCAAAGGCAGGAGATCGCGGAAAAAAATGAGAGCAAGTGGGATTTTATGAAATAATTTTTTCGTGGGGATGGGGAGAGGGGTGGGGAGGCGAAAATTGGAAGGTTGGAAGATTGGACAGGATGAGGCTCATCAGCAGAACCTATTTTACTATTCGGTCATGCAATATCCGATTATCGTGAACGAACAATTCTTTATAAACCACCAATTTAGGCTACAATATTAACATAGACATGCAATGTAATGCTCGGTCAAGTTGTAAATATAACTAGCTCTAAGCGGATAAACAAACACACGAATAAACAAACTAGACCCTGTGAGCAGGGTAACTGGGATACCTGGATAGTACTGGATCCTTGGAATCAAGTGTAGAGATACTACGGGTGTCGGACTAGTATACTGAAATAGTGCGCTTAAGTCTGGCTAAGGGCATATACCTATTTTAAAACATAGGCATGCTATGCATGCAAGAGTTACTTTTTTGTAGGGTGGGTGGATTACTTGAAACATTGTGAGTGATGTCTACATTCTTACAAAAGGAGAGAAGAATATTAATGTGGGAAAGAACGAAAATGTCGAATTACCTCACTCACAGGTATTTCGTGGTAGATTATGTGTGTTTTGCAGATAAATGTAACCAAAAATAAACTGTATTGGTGCCACGGATACCTGTTAGCACAAAATGCAGACAGCAGACTGCAGACCGGATACAAAATATAGACTGCAGACTGCAGAGTGGGTACAAAATGCAGACTAAGAATCTGAAGAGTTTTTACGTCTGGTATATAATAACATGTCATCTTACAGCTTACCGAGCGTCACGCAATCGCTTTTCTGCGATCCGCCTTCACGATTATTTGCACTATTGTGGAATATTCCTGGCCCATTTCTTGATAAAAATCGATTGCAATATTATTTCAAGCCTTCAATATAGTCTTCTTACTTTGCGCGCGAGTTGGTTGGTGTGATGTCTGTACAGATTTTACCAACGTAATAAAAGTAGATGACGTGAATAACGGTGATGGTAAAGCAAGCTTAAAACGGCAGAAATCGCCAGAAAATACAACGGATACACAGGGTATGAGTAAGTTTTATTGATTTTACGAGAAAAATGTTCATATTTCGAAATATATATCGTTGTAAATCGAACATACTTCGTTCTCTATACTATTCCTAATAACGTGCAGTTCCTGTCGTAACTTAACACCGAGTCACACAACGCGTGACGCGTTCATGAATTAATCGTTGGCTTTTTCTCGAGACGTGAGCTTGGGCCGCCTGTGACAAGACAATTGCGTAAACAATATTTAACATAATAACATTATACACAAAAAAAACAGGGTTTTGAATCACATATTTATTAAAAAAGAATATCCATACAACTACAAAGAAAACAAACATAAGATTCACCTTTCTGATCGTGAAATTAATACTATTCGTACTGTTATCGTAGCTACGTTCCTTGCCATCAAGTGAATCCAACATGTCGTCTTTCTTCACAAGCAGTTTGCACCCATTATAGTTATGTTCTTCAGTCTCACGGTAGTAGTGTTGTTCAATAGATTGCATAGAGTATGTGCAGTTTGGTTTCAGATTTCAGATTTTGCTTTTTACAACAAGTGAACGTTTTTCAACTAAGACATTGGCATACTTAGCATACAAGGCATTCAAGGCTTTCATGGCTTTCAAGCGTTTGCGACTCAATCCGTTCCAAAATTACCGCTCAATAACATCTTTCAGTGTGGATTAGCCGCGATTAATACGACTTGTATATGCGTCTGTAAGTATTTTGCGCGTTTGCGCCATAATGCTCCAGGAGACCGCAATCCAAATACATTAAAATACAAAATGACCGACCAAAGAGTTTTATAAGCAAAATCTCGTGATTCGTCATGTGACCCGGCCCTGTCCTTGCATGACAACGTCAATCATCATCAAGATAACACGCGTGATCAGCATGTGAACACCTTCATTGGATCACAGTTAGTTGTCATGGTGTTGAGGGATAACACGCGTGATCAGCATGTGAACACCTTCATTGGATCACAGTTAGTTGTCATGGTGTTGAGGGATAACACGCGTGATCAGCATGTGAACACCTCATTGGATCACAATTAGTTGTCATGGTGTTGAGGGCCCAATGACCACTGGGTACTATTGCGCAATTTTTCCATTTTGTGGCGGAGGAAAAAAAAAAAAAAAAAAAAAAAAAAAAGACGACAAAAAAACAAAGGCATTTTATGACTGGGCTACCACAGGTATCCCAGTAATAAACAACAGTTATCGATCCCAGGCTCAGACCTTTTTTTCATTTGCAAGCTTTAATCGTCATCAGCACT